TGTATACTATCCGATGTCAGGCTATAATAATAAAATGTACATAAACTCTGTGTGCTGTTGTTAAAGATCGAACTAACTGGGAAAGTTAAAATGCCTTGGGATTACTTGGTCTCTCAGACTCCCTGTCACTCACAAGAACGTCACTCACTTACTCACGCATTCAGTCACTCACTCACACACTCACAAGAAAGCCCCTCATTCACAAGAATGTCACTCACCCATTCACCTCCTCATAACAATGTAAGTCCCTTATTCATTCAAAGACTTACAGGAATGTCATTCTCACTCATTCAGTTACTTACAGGAATGTCTCTCACTGATTCAATCACAAGAATATCACTCCATCATTCACTCAAAATAATGTCACTCACTCACTCGTTCACCCACACGCCCACTCATTCGCTCGCTCGCTCACTCACTAACTCACTCACTCACTCACTCACTCAGGCCCATGTACATAACACTTTCTATAGTCAAAGTAACAACGCATTTCGAAGCACAAAGGCGCTCTGTTTGACAAAGCTGTTGTACAAAATGCTGTATTAGAGGGTCCCTGCGGACAATAGAGGGACAGTAATGAACACAATCTTATTCCATTAAAATGAGACGATTCAGACCACCGCGGTAAGTATTATTTTATACAGGGCAAATAGACATAAATTGTTTTTCAATGTGGGCAACAATGTCAAAAGATCGGCATTACCTCTGGGATTACACAATAGATGAAAAGCTCCCTTTTCAAACAAGGAAATTCCTCCACCGATACTTCCAGCTTAAGCAAAGACATGCACAGACGATACGTATCATATCTTGAACATTCTTAATTATCTCATTACCATTTCTGATGAAACATAAAAGTACCAACCTTGCGAAATGATCATGAAAGTATTATTACCTGTTGTCTGGGTCTGCCAAATGAAATCAACGCTAAATGTAAAAATAATATACATTTGAAAGAAACCCAAGAATGTATTCCCACCAAGAGTATCGACATGTTCAGATATCTTGTGTAATATCTTGTCATCGGTATTTAGACATTAGTTTCATTATTTTTCACAGCAATATTTCAAATACGAGTGTAAGATGCAATGTACAAATATATTCTCCGCATTCTCCATAAACAATATGACCTCGTGTTGGCATATCAACATTCTGAAACATTAACAAGCAAGGAGAAGAATATATTTAGCTGTACAGAACTCTTAACAACCCTATATCTCAGACCAATACAGTAAAATAGTATCATAAGTATTTAAAAATATCTTTCTCCCTGAAATAACCCTTAATGTAATTTAAAAGAAAACAGATTGGACTTGTTTTATAGATATCTTTGCTTTTGCAGCAATATACTTATTCAAATTCAGTTTGTTGGTAAACAATATGCCAATTAAGGTATCTTTGTAGTCATTCACAACTTTGATGAATTCACCCTTTCTAAGCGTTTTCTTTCTCCCTTGCCTCCACCCATCAACCTCTAGGAAACATTATATTTGTCAAGAAAAACACTAAATATTAATTCATGTGATTACATCGAAAGTTTTTGAAGCTGCACTCTGTTGATCAACTACAGAATTAGACACCGAAATCACTTCAGCTACAAAAAGGAATGAGAAGGTCTGTTATATCAAAGAAGAGATGGTTGGGTTTTTTTCTACTTAACTGTATGATATCCACATATAAATATTCTATGAAAAAATAAGAGAACTTCAGTTTAGAACTTAAAAACAGTGTTGGCTGAAGCCAATCGAAAACGACATAAAAGCTTTACATACATATGTGTATCATTGTCACAGCAAAAGCATGAAGGTATATTCGTAAACATGAATCTAACAATGAAGGGCATTGTGCCACCTAAACCTTTATTTAAATCCTCAACTTAAAACTATTTACAGAATTAAATGCCTTTTTAAGACTATGGCCACCATAAACAGTAGCCACTTACAACATTAAGGTAAATACTTCTCATTGTCTGCAAACATAGAGAATATGTGGTCGAATAGTCCTTAAATCGGCACCTGAAGATCCTGGGATAGAATTGGTCTTAAGCAAGTCATGCTGATAGTAAGAGGCGACTAACGGGATCGGGTGGTCAGGCTCGCTGACGTGGTTGACACATGTCATCGTATCCCAAATGCTTAGATCAATGGTCATGCCACTTACAACATGAAGGTAAATGCTTCTCATTGTCTGCAAACATAGAGAATATGTGGTCGAATAGTCCTTAAATCGGCACCTGAAGATCTGGGATAGAATTGGTCTTAAGCAATTCATGCATATAGTAAGAGGCGACTAACGGGATCGGGTGGTCAGGCTCGCTGACTTGGTTGACAAATGTCATGGTATCCCAAATGCTTAGATCAATGGTCATGCTGTTGATCACTGGAGAGTCTGGAGACTCAATTATTTACAGACCACCGCCATATAGCTGGAATAGTGCTGAGTGCGGCGTTAAACAACAACCAACCTTATTAATCAGGTTTGTGTTTTAGGAATTAACCCACCCACCCAATCCTAGTCTGTCTCACAGTCCACGAACCACATTAATTTCCCTACTGCCAAGCCCTCTCTGCAGTGCTAAAGCCCTAAATAAAGAAAGTCTAGATTTCCTCAAGTTCAGATCTCTGGTCTCCCTAGGGCTCCTTTTCAATATAAATGGGCTTGTTTGTTACTATCAAAATTATATATATTCAGAGACTAAGCCTTAGTCTAACCCAATCCCAACCCCAGCGCCAACCCCTGTCTGGCCAATGTCACTGATTTTAGAATTAAATGCTTTACCACTTAATACTTTGGAGAGACATGCCAAGTATAAGAATTCCTTACGTTGCTATTCTCGTATTACCGAACAATAATAGACTTCGTCCAGATAGAAGCAAAACACCGGTGTCAAAAACCCGATTAAAAATTCACCAAAAGGCATGATATCGGGTATATGAGAATTGCAACACAAACACCCACGCAGATTTGTATTTTTAAGGTGAGATGTACTATTAAATGTTTCCTTTTATGTAAACATCGCTAAACTTTTGCTGACGCCATCTTAATAACATAAGATTTGATTGTTTACCGACATGCATAACCATCCTGTGGGAATACCTTACATGAAATAAGCAACAATTCTGTTGGAGAAATAGATCATCTGAGGGAAGAATGTGTCTGAAGAGAAGGAATTGGTTTCCAGTACAATATCGGACAATCTGAAGTTGGGAAGTACACTATTGACAATCTTTAGTGATAACAACTTCTTTTATTTAATAACAGAAGTTGTCATCCATAAAGTTTGTCGATATTTCGGGAAGTAGTTTCATACACATTTCTGAGTTCACAGTAGCTTTACCGGTTGTATTCACTGTGGCAACCCCTACACAATCTGAGAGCCTCCCGTTATTAAAATCTTGCTGTCAAACATGCCATATTCTAATTTGATGTGTCATGAGAAGGTTCACAATATTCCTTTTGTGTCTTCATATAGGATGCCGAGTACAAAACATTCAGTACCAAATTATACGATTTCCCATATAGGTAAAGTATGGTATGCCGATTTGTGGTGTCCCCTTGCAGTGCATATAATTAAAAGCGGCGTAACCTGACTCCACCAAGTAACCATTCAAGTATCCCCTGTGCTTGTTCTGGGCAAAATGCATCAAATGCATGTCAAAAAGCAGATGGTCTGGTTCGTTTTCGTCAGTCGCTGTTTCAGATATTTACATTCAGCTCTACATAGCTGGACTGTTCACTGCCAGCATTCACTCACAATAAACAGGAATGCCACTCACTCACTCACCCAATACCCACCCACTCACTCACTCACTCACCCAATACCCACCCACTCACTTACTCACTCACTCACCCACCCTACCACCCACTCACCCACCCAATCACTCACTCACTCTCTCTCTCCACTCACTCCACTCACCCACCCACCCACCCACTCACTCACTCACTCACTCACTCACTCACTCACTCACTCCACCTACTCACTCACCCACTCACCCACTCACTCACTCACTCTCATTCACTGTCTCACTCACGATTAGCCAGCTTCTCCACGTGAGGATTCTGGTTACAGTATACCGGCAACCTACAATTGTAAGAGGCAGCACAGCGAGTCGGTTGTCACTCGGTGACTTGGTTACCTACAAATTGCCCAATGACTCATACTTCCAAATACTGGATTGTCCAGTGCAAAACGCTATTATTTAAAAACTGCCGTCATATAAAGCTGGCATACGTGTAGTTTGTCTCACTCCTAGAGGTTGACTTTTGTCAAAGTTGACATTTTGGCATTGTTATGGTTTCCATTTGTATTAAATTTTATATTTGCATGCATAGATACAAACTACAAGACACAAGGAATTTATTATGTTCCATGTAGAAACAGTGACATTATTCCCTAAACTACAAGGTAAATACCCTTAAATAAGACAATCATGCTTCTGGTACAAACAACATTTTAGACAAAAAAGGATTATTGCAAAGTTTAATCAAACTGACATTACTTGACGCACCCACCACCCCTCCCTCACACCCCTCCCTCACACCCTCTCAACCACCAGCCCCCATCTGCTGCACATGGAAATACTTCCTTATCGAAAATGATATCCAAGTTGATAATACTACATACACAGCGCGATCACAGCGAGACAGCTCACGTATGTTTAATGTTAATGTAGGTTATGTACCGTGTAATAATAGTGGGTGAGTAAATTCGCCTTCCGCAGGCAAAACAATGTTCCTGGCAATAAAACAAGCCGACAGCATTGTTCACGTTACGATTTGTTGGTTGTCGACAATCAGAAATATTGTTGCTGGAAGGATGCATTATTTTAGAAAACAGGTTGTTGTGAATATTGTCACAATCATTTCACGAAATGCTGACAGCAATACAAAACGTCCCACCCAACGCTGCAACATACCAGATGGCGACGTCTGAGTTAACAACATCTGCTGCGTGTCAGCTGTTTTCATTTCCCAGTTTCAATCACTTTATATAACATGAATGAGATGCCCGGATTCTTCTCTCGAGGTATGTTTGTGATATATATCAACACTACTACATATTACGTTTATTAAAGCCATGGAGAATAAAACTAATATTTTCTTCTAGGCTCGAGGCCTTCACAATGGATAGCAACTGAGTGAACAAACCCGACCAGCTCAACTGTCATTCAAACCCCTGCCACAGAGTATACAACGGACGCTTCAGGAATACACCGTTCACAAGTTCTGACAGCCCAATTTGAGAATTTCAGTTTTTCTGGACTGTGTCGTTCACTGAAGCTTTCAGAGGCGGGGGGAGTGAACATATGCCCGCTTGTCTACTGCCTACCAAGAACGGGCGCATGCGCTGCAAGGAGCTTGTAGAGGGAGTATGTGCGTTAGAGAGGCGAGTGTCTCGGTGTGGCCGACCTGTCGATATCTAAAGTAGTAGCTAACGCTCACGTACCCTGGCTGTCTATACAAGCAGAGCAAGGAGTACTACCTATGTGGATACTATAGTGTGGACGCTGAAGCTGGAGAGATGCCTCAAGTATAACGGTGAGTAGTCGTGTTTGTCAAGTGTTTAAAACATCATTGACTCTCAGTACCCAGTTGGGGGTCGAGTGAAGGGACAATTATCTCACTTTCTATAACTTGTAAATTACTTCGATAATTGTTACGCGGTGATATGAGACTCGAGTCTCCAAAGGAGCTGTTTCACGATTTGATATAACACTCAAGCTGTCATCGGGCTGTGTTAAGAATAATTGTTTTGCTACCAGTAAAGTATTACTATCAGTTTCAATGCAAATACTCAAAATAATTACTATCTTACCATTCCTTAACAGAGACTGTTGTGATACTAATGACATTATCCATAGATCGTGTGTGAAGTGTTTTACGAAATTCCTCTGTGTTTAAGCAGTAAACATGCCGTAAGCGATTTCTTTCCTGGTCGAAGACTACACTGTGTTTAATGTTGACACGGTTGAAAGGTCAATGATTGGTTTCCGCAATAAACTATCTGTGTCCTGATAACCCGTCCCAACATTCCTCAAGCTGGCATTACTATGGACGAGAAAAATAAAAATCCCAATTTGAATATATCTTTCGTTGGTATTATATTATAGATACGTATTGATCACGATATCCAGACTAGCGGTCTCAATTAGAAAAACATGTTCAGATGTTCCGCTACCTAAATCAAAGCATCGTATGATACATAACCAGAGACCATATCGGTATATGATAACTATATATGGTCTCTATGTATGGTTTACTTCAATAGCAGATGTCGTTTCCTTTTGACATAATGTTGTAGAAAGTGATCAGAGAGTGTAGTTTATGAGTTGGTGACAGGGGACGACTGCAGCGTAGCCGCCTGAGGGTAATTGGGCGACGTTTATAGCCTTCATCTCTATATTGGCAAGACATGGCTAGTATTTTTAGAAATTTGTACATTTTGTGCCTTTGGTGTCAGTGACACCCTTAGGCGTCAATTGATTGTCTGGGCATTGTTGCGGAACACACTGTAGCACAGAGGCGGTGTAGGATGAAATCTCTGATCACTATACACCTCGCGTCGCTGGGATGCTTATCTTGGATGAAATTCATCTTCTATTCATGTGGCGCTCCAAAGAAAAGAATCGTTTGTCTTTGATACTGTCAGCTGAACCGCCTTCACCCCGTATGGTCTCGGGTCATGGCACCTCTGGCCTGTACCGCATATGGTGAAACCATCATCCGATAATTTACTGTTAGAACATCTTGTATGTTCTCACAGAGACCACATAACTTCTCGTGTATACAACCGTTCATTGAATACCCCTCTTATACAACCAGTCATTAATGTCATATTAAAATATATCAGATAAAGTTTGCGGCATTGTGTACATTGCCCTTTTGAAGCTAACTAGATTAAAGGTATTCCAGAAGAAAATGTTTGAACAAGATGGGGTTGTGATGTGAGCGTTGTAAAGAGTGTGCGATGTAGAAATAGTGTCATTTCCATGATGTGTAGTTCTTTAGAAGTTAACCTTTTAATTAGAACATTTCATCAAAGCGTTTGGCAGTGTCTAGTAGTTACCAAGCATAATGGACCTTTCTTTACTCTGGCCTTTTTCAACAAAGCTTGAATGAAGAGAAACCCAGGTGAGAAGGTCGGCAAACATGAGTCAACATTGACATAGACCGATATCTGTCGAGCATCGCTTGGATGATGTAGCGAGTCATCAATTAGCCAAGCTGGTTGCTTCTAACAGTCAGTTAGCTGACACATGTAGGCAATTAGCACTGCTGAATACTTTGAGGCGAGACTTGACCAGCATATTTCATTAGTTAAACTTGTAGTTGGGTTGTACCAGACACCAATGTCCCAACGAAGTTAGGGACCAATGTTCCAGCGAAGTTAGGGACCAATATTGCAGGGAACTTGGGCACCAATGTTGCAGGGAACTTGGGCACCAATGTTTCAGGGGAGTTAGGGACCAATGTTGCAGGGAACTTGGGCACCAATGTTTCAGGGAAGTTAGGGACCAATGTTGCAGGGAACTTGGGCACCAATGTTTCAGGGAAGTTAGGGACCAATGTTGCAGGGAACTTGGGCACCAATGTTTCAGGGAAGTTAGGGACCAATGTTGCAGGGAACTTGGGCACCAATGTTTCAGGGAAGTAAGGCACCAATTATCCAGGGACAGTATGCGCCAATATTCCAGGGAAGTTATGCACTAATTGTCCAGGGAAGGTATATACCAATATTCCATGGACGTTAGGCACCAATGTTCCAGGGAAGTTGGAGTCTGATCATGAACCAACTGACCATGGCAACATGTAGTGCATAAACTGCTTTATTCTCCATAAATCCCCTGTTTACAAGAATAGGATTCATTCCGCAAAATACTCTCCTGCTGGTGATTGCATATGGACTGCAACTGGCATTCAAACTTTCGGAGAAAACTGGAATACAAATTGCAAATATTCACGGTTCATGACTGCAATATGCAGTCTAATCAAGTCTGATTCAGGTCACCGATAGGCATTATGTTTACTTTAATTGTACTACATCTATTGATCTATAGCTAATAAGTAGCCTAGGTTCATAGAGAGAAAGCATAATGTTACACATGGTACAGATTGTAAGGTCTAGACCTTGATTTGCAAAGTGCATCAGACCGTAGAGGACAGCTCCTCTTTAAGTAGGCCCTTCTCAGGGGAGAGATATTTTAAGGAACGCCGAAATCTTGCTGTGATGAGGTCGTATAACAGCGTTGGATGATTGCATTGCCAAATGTATCGAGCCATTCATGCGTGTTTTGCTTACGCCATTCAACCTCGCGAGCCCTTACATCCTGAATTCTGCTGGGTAACATTTTCGCTTGTCATGTATAAGGCTTGGGTTCGATTTCCCTTTAGACTTACATTCAACCTCTAAATTGCTTTTTTCTTAAAATTGTTCTAACTATAGAATATAAAGAGTCCATATTGTCTCTTGAGTCTCAATGGAAAATACTGAAATCTAGACTTACAAAACTGTGCATGTGAAATGTGGATCATGTTCAGGTTTTTCCCCTATGTCATCTAATTGTGTGACGTCATGACGCCCCATTGTCTCTTATTGTTAAAGCAGTGTTAGCGTTGAAAGCATGTATTTATTGACCATGTATGTCAAGATAGCTCTCTTATGTAAATACCATCAAGTCAGTGAGAGTGTTATTGTTTTCTTTACATTCGAAACTGAAGACAAACCCATTGGAAGAAAATTAGGTTTCAAGACACTGAACATCTGGAATTTATTTGTTTAAATTCTTCTGTGGATAGAAGAATACGGATTTACTGATAATTTATATGGAGTAGACGGTTGAATTGAATCTTGTGCAAATATTCATCAGTTATCATTAAGAACAAAGGATCCTGCCCAGGATCGGCCTTGGATCGTCCACGCACTATCAATTATCCCTAACTGGTATAGATGGGCCTGGAGATAGGAATTTGCGAACACAAACATATTTCAGAGGGATTTCGGTAACTTAGATCCCGGGGTGAGACAGAGGGCGGGGGATGAGAGCGGGCAGGGAGGGGATGAGGTGTGGACGGACACTGGAAGAGAAAGGGGAACGCCGAAAGATAATGTGCAAGATAACGTCTCTCATTTCTCCACATTCCCCGACAGGAAGGTAGGTAGGAATGTGGCGAAGACAAGCACCTGCTTTAGATTTCACACACACGTTAAGTGTACATTAATCTGGCACTTATATTACCAAAATAATTTATTTCGACATTATTAATGTTCATTTCACCGTTATTTTAGGAACGGACTCGACTTCCATCTAAATTTATAACCTTATAACGTGCTACGTGTAAATAGACAAGGACATGTGTTGATATTCTGTGGGAAGTACGCTGCCGGACAAAGAAAGTGTACTATTGAAAAATTGGTTTGACCAAAAGATTACAGGCACCGAATCATTAAAAACGTCAAGACCAAGTTACAGCTTCAGTGCACAATGCATGTGCTTGTGCATGCATCAAATGCATCATCTTCGAATAACTATTTCTTGTTTGTATTTATACATGCATGCATACTCTCTCTTGTCCGTCACTTTAGTAATTCAACCTAAAATGTGACCTCAACGAGAACTGTCTTATGAACTCATGTCCGTAGTAAGTATGAAATATGTTGTTGAAGTATTAAAGTTAAACCATGTTTTGTTTGAAAAAGGGCCTTCCGCTTATGTACCGGGATACGAGATAGCGAATTCATAATCTTCTGATAACATGCGCGAGTCTTTAACAAATACAAGAGCATTGTAACCAGACAACCCAGGGTCGTGCAGAGTGCAACAAAACAAAGTAGGGTAACTGGGTTAGAGCTGGGAAGGGAGGGAGGGGCGAGTCTCCCCTGGCCTTGTGGGATGGGAAGCATGGGAAGGTTTGCAGGAGAAGTGGGGGTGCTTAATGGCTACGAATGTGGAACTGAGGCACAAGCTGCCTCCAGATGGCGCTGGATGAGATCAAAGCCTCGGAATGGGAACAGTCTGGCTGGTCTCCTGCGTCTTCAGGTTTAGGAGGTGGGGCAGTTACCACAGACTCAGGAACACATCACACGGGGGAGCGTGTTAATTACCCGACCCACTGGGAATATAATGAAGACTCCAACCGATCTCTTCTCATCTGACATTCTTTAGATTGTACACTCGCATAAATGAAGATAGTAACAAAATCAACTCCGTAGACATTGCCATCAGACCGCATGGACGTAATAAGGCGTAAGGATGTCACAGGCATCTGTTTTTGTTTCGTTCAAGGATATTTTTTTTATCTTACCGCAGTTAACTGCGGATGTGTATAGTGGGTAATATAGACACACAGTGGCTGTTTAATGGGCTTGATAACGCTTATCACTTGAACCATTATACGTCGAAGGACAAACTTAAGCATGAGACGCACTGGATTTGTGTTTCTTACTGTCTTAGCACTAAAGGAATAAGATCTGAATTGGCTTAATAATGTATATTCAGAGAATAACTGAAACTCGCTGAAACTTATACTCATGCCAATAA